CCCGGTATGCTTGCGGTAGTGCCTGGTCAGTTCGTCGGAGCGGGCGAATTTCCACCCGCAGCCGTCCCAGTCACAGTGGTAGGGCTTCTCACCTGGGGGAGGGAAAGAAACCCAGGTGAAGCCACCGCTACCTAACGCGGAATTGGCCAAACTGGAGGCCGAGTATCAGACCAATTCCCCAAGCACCCCACTCTGAAAGGGGCCAGCCATGTTTTTAGACCACTTCAAGGCCATCTTCAATTTCAGATCATAAATAGGAATATTAAAAGTATTCTTTTTGCCCTTTTTTGGGGTGGGGGGAACAGACCTACACTTCCTACACTTATATATCGCTAACATTTTCATTCTTTTGAGCCGAAGTACCACGGTGATGGAAGTGAATTTAGAACTCTCTCTCCCGTCCAAACCAAGTGATCACATCCTCTATCCCACTACAACTGGGTCGAAAAAGCCATAGGCGGCTCCTTTTTTTGCATCAGCATTTCTATTATTTTAATGAATCCTACACCTAAATGACCTTATGTACCTATACTTACATGACATGAAAAATTCTCTGCAAGTGACCATCTTAAACCACAATCTTGGGCAAATCATAACCATTCAATTCTTGAAATTCAAATAGAACCTACTTATGAAGGCTAGAACTAAAAATAAAAAAGGAGTGTGCATCTGGGAACAACCAGTGAAAATTGCCTAAAAATTAAAAACTGATAACAAGACCTAACATACTTTTGCACTGCAACGTGTAATTTAAGATTTTATTTTTAAGTAATCTCTACACCCAACTTGGGGCCGGAACCCGGAACCTGCAACCTCGGGAACCCACAACCTCGTGATAGAGTTGCACCCTCCACTGAGCCAGCCAGGCGCCCCCGAAGTATAATTTCTTGATTACAAGGGCAATGCCTTGCTCAAACGAGGAGAGGGCCCACAAGCGGCCTGGAATCTCCCTGCCTTTCAAAAGCCTTACGCCTAACAGAACTGCACATTCAAGCACTTGATACCATCCATCAAGCAAAAGGCTCTTGGGCAAAAAAAGGAGGCGCCAGTTTGGTCTGCTGTTCTCTCCTGTGATCCAAGAGATGGAGGAGATAGACTGTGCCCCACATCCCAAGGGAGGCCCTGAGAAGTGTCCACAGTTAGCCAATGGGCTGCACACCAACCTCCCCGCCCCTTTTGCAGCTTCTGTTCTCCTACCTGTGTGGGTTCGCAGGTGCGCCTTGAGATGAGAACTCTTCGTGTAGGTTTTGCCGCAGCCCGCATAATCACAAGTATGAGTGGCTGTCCTTTTCCGGGGCCACGACCTTCT